CGAGAATCGCTGAGCGGCGGCCTCTGGCCTGGGGGATACAGGAGGTCAGACTAGATGATCCAAATGGTCTCTTCTAGCCTTGAAATTTGTGATTCTGGGACAACTGTGCCAGATTCTCAGTTGCTATAAATTGCCTTAGTCTCATTGATTTACACTGCCTGGGGATCTCCCATTGACTGCAATGGAGCTACGGATGAGTCATACCAGCTGGGATCCGGCCCATGGACTCCGATGGAGCTACATTGATTCTCACTGGCTGGGATCCGGCCCATTGACTCCAATGGAGCTTTGGCCAATCCATATCAGGTGGGCTCTGATGGAGCCATAGGCACTGACGACAGGGGTGCTCTGGGCCTCAGGCACCCACAGAAAAAGAATAGGGGTTCAGGACCCACCAGCCACAGTGGTTCGGCGTGGCCGCAGGGCTGGCTGCCAATCAGCTGTTCAGAGGGCGGGGGAGAGGGATGGGGCAGGGGAAGAGAAGGGGATGGGGCAGGAGACAGTGGGGAGAGGAAGAGACAGGGGATGGGGAAGGGGGATCTCAGGGAAGGGGGAGGAGCGGGTGCATGAAGAGGCGTAGCAAGGACGGGGACTTGGGGGAGAGGCGGAGCGAGGGCGGGGCCTTGGGGGAGAGGCGGAGCAAGGGTGGGGCCTCAGGACGGAGCGGGCATGGAGCACCCTCTGGGAACTCCAAAAATCAGCGCCTGTGAATGGAGCTACGACCAATCTACACCAGCTGGAATCTGGCCTTGTCTTTTCCTATATTTCACTTCTATTTATCTTGAAGTTGGCCAGCGCCCATCCCAGAATTGTCAGATGGCAGCCGTCCCACAGACTTCTCCGAAGAGCGACTCATGTGAGATAAGTCGAAACACAACACCGCACCACCGTACATTGGAGAATTTCCAATCTTGCTTGAAGCAAAACTTGTGTGGGGTGGAAAACAGCTCGGCAGGTAACCCCCGCGCATCATATATCCAACCCGTCACTCACCCTCACTGTTACACACCCAGATGTTTACATAAAGCCGAGACACCTTCGTTCCCACCCACTCTCTATCCCATCCCTCCTTTCATGAGCCTCTATAATATCACCAGGAACCTACAGCCTCAGTGCGACAGCTAGTGGCCAGTCAGGGTGGTCAGAGCCCTGGAGCCATAATAATGTACTAAGATTTTATATTTCTTTAGCTGATACGCGTATTATTAGAGCCCTGTTGTGCTGGGCGCTGCACAGACACACAGGGAGAGACAGTCCCTGCCCCAGCTGAGATCAGGGCCCCGTTGTGCCGGGCGCTGCACAGACACACAGGGAGAGACGGTCCCTGCCCCAGCTGAGATCAGGGCCAGCATTGACTGACATTAGCATACTGCCTACTGAGCCCTGCAGCACAGCGCCCCCTAGCACTGCACAGGTGCATTGGGGTCAGCAGTGTCTGCAAGGTGAGAGCGCCTCCTATTGAGCCTCTGATAGCCTAACACAGCGCCCCCCAGTGCCACACTGGGGCATTGGCACCAGTAATGGCTGTGAAGGGAGAGTACCCCCTACTGAGCCCCCCGCTCCACTAACCTGCAGTACAGCGCCCCCTGGCATCACACGGAGGTATTGGGATCAGCAGTGACACAAGAGCACCCAATGATGTTATGATGTTGCCACGCTCCCCAGAGCTGTGCCAATCCACTGCACGTTGTCTCACTAAAACACTGAGTGGGAAGGCTCCGTGGGGGAAACTGGTCAGAGCTGGTAGAATGATCAGACCCGTTACTGATAACTGTTCCATTTCCCCGTCCAGAGGGCTCCGGGTGCAAACTCTGCCCCAGGCACTGGGTGCCGCACAGGGACAAGTGCTACTGGCTTTCTGAAGAGAACCAATACTGGAACAGGGGCCATGATGACTGCTCACAGAGGAGATCTCACCTGCTTGTGATCCAGGACCGGGAGGAACTGGTAAAGAATGTGCTAAACTTCACCATATTTGTGTCCTTGTTAATGAGGGCAGGTCACGAAGCCCTCTTTTAATTTTTCTATCAACAAACTTTTGAAAGCAAAATTTTCATTCACAATTTTTCTATTTTTCACTGGAAAATTTGAGAGTGAAATGAGATGTCCGTTTTAATTTTCAGAAACCAAACTTCTTTTTAAAACTTCAAACTTTTCTCTCCCCCCCTTTTTTTGACCACTGAATAGGATGGGATGAATAATGATATTTTTCCACTTATTCCATATTCTCAGCAGAAAAAAGGGAACTTTTCAAAATGTCCTCGACTTTGGGATAGTTAGAGAGGCAAAAGGAAATATTTTGTTCTAAATTATCTGTTTCCATTCAAGAGAGAGATCTTGGAGTCATTGTGGATTTTTCTCTAAAAACATCCACGCAATGTGCAGCGGCAGTCAAAAAGTTAATAGCATGATAGGAACCATTAGGAAAGTGTTAGATAATAAGACAGAAAATATTATAATACCACTATGTAAATCCATGGTACGCCCACATCTTAAATACTGCGTGCAGTTCTGGTTGCCTCATCTCAAAAAAAGATATATTAAAATTGGAAATGGTTCAGAGATGGTCAGTGAAAACGATTAGGGGTATGGAACAGCTTCCATAAAAGGAGAGATTAAAAAGACTGAGATTGTTCAGTTTAGAAAAGAGACAACTAAGGATGGATATGATAGAGGTCTATAAAATCATGCAGAGAAAGCGAATAAGGAAGTGTTATTTACTCCTTCTCATAACACAAGAACTAGGGGTCACCCAATGAAATTAATAGGCAGCAGGTTTACTACAAACAAAAGGAAGTATTTCTTCACACAACGCACAGTCAACCTGTGGAACTCTTTGCTAGAGGATGTTGTGAAGGTCAAAAGTATAACTGGGTTCAAAAAAGAATTAGATAAATTCATGGAGGATAGGTCCATCAATGGCTATTAGTCAAGATGGTCAGGGATGCAACCACCTGCTGTGGGTGTCCCTTAACTTCCAAACACCAGAAGCATCTGGCATGGGCCACTGTTGGAAGACGGGATACTGGGCTAGATAGACCATTGCTATGACCCAGTATGGCCGTTCTTATGTTCTTAAACAAGGAGGAAGAAAATCCTGCTGAAAAAAATAAGTTTTGACTGAAAATTTTCCACTGGCGTTACTGTTAATATTATCTTTATTTTCTGAGAACATTATCATGAACTCTAGCTGGATTAACATTAGGTGTAGTGATATCACAGAGACCGAATACAAAAACCTAGATAATAAACAAAACTCCATAAAAATATAGATTTGGGTTTATATATTTAAAATCATTTTGACATACATCTGTTTATTCTTTAGCATTTTTAAAAATATATCTATTAACATTTTCAGTTGTGCAAAATTATGAGTTTTAAGCATTTGTTATCAATTTTTATGTATTTACATTTTCATAATTGTGGGAAATCATGGGGCGGGATCAGACACTGGGCAGGGAGGTCCGACCATAATTATTTATTACCAGTAGAAGCTGAGATTCAAAAAGGTAAAGCTTTATAACTATCAAAATATACACATTAAGAATCCTTAAATCAAACTCCAAGTTCTCAAGCAGCATTTTTCTTACTTTGCCTACCTGTAAATTTCGATTATTGTCAGTGGAAATATTTTTTCATCAGGTTGTGTGTGTGTACGGTGAAGTCGATGTTTACCGATAAAAATCTCATCTTTCCAAGCCTAAGTATATTGAAATAAATACATTAATAGTAGATCCCAAAGCATTTTATGGTCTTAAAACGATTAGGTACAAACTAGAGCCAGGGATTGTTCAGCTATCACTGGGATGCGGCTACCTCTGGGGTGGGGCAGCTGGGTAACAGCTGTATAGCAACGTTGCACAGGGTTTGTTCACTCAGTACAGAATCATGCCCTATGTGGAAAGAGGTGCAGTAGCTGGATAACAGCGGAGAGTTTGCCCAGAGCTAAAATGTTACTAATTATTTATTAGAGCTGTGTTTAAAAAAAAAAAGACACAATTTTTTTTAAAAATGTTCATTCAAAAAAGTTGAGAACGTTCACTGAAGTTCATTGAAAATTTTAAATAAAATTAATCAAAATCTTGATGGAGGGGAACAGGACCGACTCAGTTATTAATTAGTAGTGTAAATTATTTGTTATGTTTACTTTCAATTGGAGTTTCAGCTAGTCCTGATTCGTCACCAGTATTAATGATCAAAACCCAAACTAGAGATCAGGTCTCATTTACATTGTGAGCAAAGCAGCCAGAGAATTCTACCATGTTCTGTTCTCTCTGACACCGTGTCCATGTCACAGGAGTTCACACAGAATCTTACAGGAAATCAAAATCCGGTGTGGATTGGACTCAACATCACATCCCCAGGGAGGAAGTGGACCTGGGTGGATGGTTCCCCGTTAAATCAAACGCTGTGAGTGTTTCTTGATGAGTATTTGACATGAGTCTGCAATAAATACATAGTGTGAAATACTGGGCCCCATTAAAGTCAATGGCAAATCTGCTGTTGACCTCCATGGGGCAAGGATTTCATCCATTAAATCTTACAGTTGTAAGGGCCTCAATCCTGCAAACACACATGGGGTTAATTTTAAGTCTCATGGCAGTGAATGGCAGTATGCATGGGAGGAAATCGAAGCAAGTACATAAATGTTTGCGGGATCAGGGTCTCTGTTTGCATGGCCCCACACTCCTGGGCAGAACTGGTTACAAAATGGGGAGAAACATGATTTTTTTCAATTTTTTCTTGTTTTTGTCAACATCTAAGACTTTAAAATTCAAAAGCTGTTCAGTTTCAAAACTGAGAAAGTCCCAACTGCCTCCATAGTTGGTCAAAAAACTAGGTCAAAAAGCCGCTCAAAATTCATCAAAACTTCCCCGTTTTTTTCATTGAAATTTGAAATTGACTCAACTTTTCATGTAAGTTTCAAAAGCGGAACATTTGCATCTGTTCTAAGGATTGGCCTCTCTGCATTAGCCCTCTGATTAATCATTTTGCTGCAAATTTCTGTACCATGTGCCCCTCTCCATCAGGTCTGGACTTAACATATCAACTCGTTTCATGTATTAGCCTATCTGGAGAAGGACTAGAGAAGGCGGCTGGACCCCCAGCATCCTGGAAGGAAGGAGAATAGCTGCGACAGACCCTCTTCCCCACCTCTAAACCCACTGATTGTGACTCTCTCCTTCACTCCTTAGATTCACGGTATCGGGTCCTGCAGAAGAGAACAGCTGTGCTGCAGTAAAGAAGAATCAGATCAAGTCTGAAATCTGCAACACTCACTATAAATGGATTTGCCAAAAGGAAGCTGTGCGCATTTAAATGGGAGGATTGGCGACCTCTGTCTGCATCTATGGAATGCAGAACACCCTGGGTTCTCGTCTCCATTGCAGCTAACAAAGTCTCAGGCAGTGTAAAAGCGCCGATAAAGTGAATGGCGCAATGCTGATTTATACCCATTGGGGGTCTGGGCCCATTGCCTCCAATGAAGTTGCGGCCAGTTCACACCAGCTGGAAATCTGGCCTTTTGATTATTTTTTAAAAAAATAATTCTATAATTTTTTTATTTTTACACAGTGTTCTAATATTGTCTTCAGAGTATTAAAAGATTCCTGGGACATTATTGATGGTAACACCTAGAGGCCCCAGCTGAGATCAGGGTCCCATTGTACTGGTCACTGCAGACACACAGGGGTGGAGTGGGGGGCAGGGCCTGGGACGGAGTGGGGGTTGAAGCACCTTCAGGGAAATGAGGAAGCCGGCGCCGTACCTAAGTCCTCTGCCAATTTTTGTGGTTTTAAACAATGATTGTTCTCGTCTCAGCATATGAAAGATGCACAAACAGGGGCACTGGACTATGGTGCAGGTTTCGGCCATTATACAAAGTGCAGTTAAATGAGCAAAGTAACCAAAATAAATATAAATTCCAGAAATGGAAGGAAAAAAGCCGCAGATTTTTAAGGGCAGAAAGGACCGTTCCGATGATTTCATCTGCTCTCCTGGAGGGAGGGATAGCTCAGTGGTTTGCACATTGGCCTGCTAAACCCAGGGTTGTGAGTTCAATCCTTGAGATGGCCACTTAGGGATTTAGTTGGGGAGTGGTCCTGCTTTGAGCAGGGGGTTGGACTAGATGATCTCCTGAGGTCCCTTCCATCCCTTCTATGATACTAGCTGCTGTAACACAGGCCAGAGAATCTCATCTGGTGATTCTGGCCCGGAGCCCAATCTGTGTGGCTCAGTGACAGTTCTAAGACCAACCCAGTTGTGAGTCAAAGAACTCACGCGATGACGAATCCGCCACGTCCCTCGGTAAGTGGCTCCGATGGCTAGTTCCACTCACTGTTAAAAAGGGGGCAGCGTATTTGCAGTCTGGATTTGTCTTGCTTCAGCTTCCAGCCATGGGATCTTCTTCTGCCAAAGTGTGCTCGACTCAAGATCTCGATTAGCAATCCTCTTCCCGTGTACACTGTGAACAAGTCTCCCCCGAACCTCATGTGTGATAAGCAAAGTAGACCGACCTCTTTAATGTCACCCACTGCCCGGCATGTTTGTCAGAGAAGAGCTGCAATTTTTCAACATCTTTGTAAAGAGACTGCTCTGACCACATGAGGTAGTAGGTTAAAAAAACCTCGCTCATCTTACAGTGTGATTCTAAGTTATCAGTTGATCTTCAACACCTCCGGAGCGCAGTTGACCACAAAGTGCAGACATTGCTTTCATCAGGCAACAAAAGACACCTAGCATGATTCCACTGCATGTGTGAAATGCGTCTCTTAAATGCTCATTATAATTATAGTTACAATTACCAGGCCATAGCCCAGTGCTCCCCAAACTGTGGGGTGGGGCCCCTAAGGGGGCCACAGAGGAACATTTGGGGGGTCCCAGGCCAGCCCCCATGTGGGGCAGGCAGGGAGTGCCATCCAGCCCCACTCTGCCCCCAGCACTGCACCAACCCCAGCTGCAGCTCCAGCTCTGGCCTCACCACTGGCTCCCGGCCCCAGTTCCGCTCCTGGCTGCAGCCCCAGCTCCGCTCCTGGCGGCAGCCCCAGCTGCAACTCCGGCTCCAGCCATGGCCCCGCTCCCGGCCCCAGCTGCAGCCCCAATCCCAGCGGGGCAGGGAGCAGGTAAGGAGGGGGCCAGGAGGGTCATGACCGAAAAAGTTTGGGGACCCCTGCCATAGCCCCAGCCAGCATTAACAGGCCCAGCTCCTTTGACTTCTACCAGCCGGAGATTTGGCTCTAAGGACTCAGTGGAGCTCTGGTCGATTTACCGCAGCTGGGGAGCTGGTGACAGTGAAGTGTATTTTTATCACAGAAGCCTGGTGCTAAGAGGAACTGCGAGTGAACTGTGGCTCCCTCTGCTGTCTGCACCACAGCACATACTCAACATTGTACCATGATACGTAAAGAGATTTGGATGTGTCGACACCTCCCCTTTGGAGATAAAGGGCCTGATCCCCAGTTACCACATTCCTCAGCTCAGGCTGGGATTTAAGTAGTTTTAACCCCCCTTTTTGCTTCTCCTATTCTGGGTCTGTGCAGAGCTCTGCCTGCCCCCTGGTGTAGATCGGAGCAGCTTCAAGGCTGCTCTAATCTACAGTCTGTTCTCTATTGGCCTTAGGTAGCACAGAATAGGTGCAGCACAGTGCATTCCGACCACACCCTCAATCCAGCCCCTACACCAAGGGGCTGGAAGCAGGGTACGTGCAGGGCCCTTATACCAGCTCCACACCGGCCATGGTAGCATAAAGGTGAGTGTAGCTGAGAATCAGGCCCAGGGCACTGCGGAAGGGAGGTTAGAGTCATGTGACCTTGGTGTAAGTGATCCCTGGAGTAAATCTAAAGCCTGAAACAGGCGCTGCGTCGGCAGATCTCTGCACCGACGTAGCAGCACACCGAACTCAGGAGCAAGGGGCTTTGGTCTGAAACAGCCAGTGTCACATGAGCTACAAGGAATGTTGCAAAATATGTTATTTACAGGGGTGTGTGCGCGCGCGTGTGTGTTACTGGAAGGGGAGGCAGGTTTGGATTTGTAATTTGCCTGACTTATTGCGGGCAGGGCCTATATTAAATTGTACTGCCGCACTTAGGGCATATTATTTGTGATGCGTTTTCAAGTTATTGCAGGGGGGCTGGAGTGTTAGGAATAGGCGCCCCTCTTCTAGCAATGTTCAGGAGGGGTTTTCTACGGAAATTGGGAGAGAAAATCAAAGGGAACTGGGCCCACAAAACTCTTCAAATTTCCCCACTCACCCCCTTCCCCTCAGCACCCATACATCTCACTAAATAAGCATCTAGACTGGAATTTTCCAAGGACTTTAAGGTAGTTTGGTACCAAAATCCCAACAAAAGTCATCCCATCCCTAGACACTGGAGTTGGGAGCGAAACTGGAAATTCCCTCCCATGGAAAATTCCACATTTCCCAGAGAGAGAGAGAGTGTGTGTTCCAAATAGGAACTAATGGTCAGCTATGTGATACTTTCCACAGAAGGGATTGTTAAAAAAATTGTTTGCAAAAGTGTCCAGTCCCACCTCTCCAGCTCCCTGGCATCCCACTGGGGGCAAACATCCAAACAGGTTGGAAGCCCTGGGAGACCCAGCTCCCCACCTGACACAATGCTGAGACCTGGGAGTCTGACAACTCAGGCTCCTGAGAAGGCCACCAGGTGGGCGGCTGAGGAGCCAGGCGGGCAGGCCACCAGGTAAGTTTCCATCCAAACTTTTGTCAAAATAGACGCGTCCCTGTAGAATGTCTTGATTTTTCATTAATCACTATTTTCACATCTCCACTGGGACACCCAGTGGAAATAAACACACACCTCTGAATGCAAGGACTGCTGCAGGACAGGCACATCTCTACGAGTCAGGTGGGGATTCGCAACTACCAAGTAGCATCTGACAAAACAGCACATTTATTGGGTGAGGGGGATTTAGGAAAACTTTAGATCCTGCAAATCCCACAAGAGAGAGTTTTCCCCCCATGCTACTTAAAAAACAACAAAGGTCGGTTAATATATTATATATAAATATAAACAGAATTCAGACACAAGTGAGACAGACACGTACATACACGTTATTACAGACCAAATGTCATCGCTCAGCGCATTTGCCCAGAAGCTGGGGCCAATTTCTACGCACTCAGTGACTGCAGTAGCAACAGGCCATTGACGTTCCTGCTACAGCGACAGGGTTTAATTTCCAGTTATTAATGGAGGTAGAAGCAGCGTAACTGACACTGTCCATCCTGTTACTTTTCCCTCTGTGTGGTTCCCCCCCATCCTTCCTCGGCGTTTGGTTCAGACCCGGGAGAGGAGCCCCACTGTGAACCATCCCACACTTAATTTACCTGTAAACAGCCAGAGAGAGAAACAGCCTTTGTCTGACAGAAAACCTGGTTCACAGCTTTGCCGGTGACCCCCCACCTAGACACAGACACTGGGACCATAACGGTTGGTGTTTACACAGAACTGCTTGCACACCAGCCGTAAGTGTGTTTCACAATGACATTAGTGACCAGTGTGACACGCGCTTGAATGTGAGACCTCATGCCCCAGGCACCCTTGCTGTCCCCTTTGCAACCTTTCATTTGCAGAGCCCTGCAACATTTCGAATGGAGGTGCCGACCCCTTTGTAAATCTTAGACATGGTCTGCAGATCCCAAGGGTTCTGCGGACCACAGGTTGAAAACCACTGTTCTATGGTAACAACAACCGTTTGCGGACCCCTTAGACATCATCTATGGACCCCCAGCGGTCCCCGGAGCACAGGTTGAAAACCACTGGCTTAGACAGCTAGAATGAAAGTCCAGCAACAATCTCCTCTCATTGTTTTCTGGTTCTCTCCCTGATTCTTGTCTTACACTTAGATTGTAAACTCTTTGGGGCAGCTCTTTGTTATGTTTGTCTATTATTATTTATTGGTATTACAAGTGACACTTACCCCCAGTCATTTAACGTCGCTTAACGTCAACAATGGAGTGCAGCAGGGCTGCATAGTGACTCCTACATCGTTTAATATTTACTTCCCACTCCTGCTGGAAGGTGCGTTCCGTGATGGCCGAGGGGGTGTCTGTACTAGCACCAGACAGGACGGAGGTGGGTTTAACACTGCACGGTGCAGAGCTAAGATGAAGGTGAAGGAGATCATCATACGGGACCTGTTATTTGCAGATGATGCAGCCCCCGTGGCTCACCGTGTTGATGTCCTTCAACAGCTTATTACCAAGGTCTCTGATTCATGCAAAATCTCTGGACTAGCAAGAAGCTTGAAGAAGACAGTTTTCACGCCCCAGTGCTCTTCAGAGCCAGTTCCAGATATCCCCTTGGGGGTGTTCGTCTGGATGGTGTGGACCAACTTTGCTACCTTGGCTCTACTGTTACCAGCCATGTAGATCTTGACGCTGAGCTCACTAGCAAATCAGCAAAGCTGCCGGGAACTTTTGTCTTTTGCGAGACAGAGCCTGGAACAATGACAAATGGTCCATTAAAGTGAAAATCTGTATTTATAAGACATGTGTGTTATCCACGCTTCTGTATGACTCAGAAACATGGACGACTTACGCCAAACATACCAGGAGACTAACCAGCTTCCATGTCAGATGCTTGAGTAAAATTCTTCAAACAAGACGGCAAGACAGGCTAACCCATGTGCAAGTGCTA